AAATAGCCTATAACTAATCAAATCGCACTATGTCACTATATCACCAAAATCCGCTATCTCAAAATCAAACTCCTCTCACAAAAACCCACGAGGTCAAAATGCGTTGATTTCACTTTTATACAGATGTGCGATTGTGTGGTCTGTTGTTCCCGACCGTGTCAATCAAACGCTGATGAAACACTTAGTGAAACACTTCGAGGCTTCGTTTGGCCGTAGTCACGTGACATGGGTGTTTTGAATCACGCTTCGGATCAGTGTTTCGAAACATCTGCGCTTCGGGATCTCGCAAAGCTTCGGAACGACTGTTTCGTGTCAGCCATCCCTAGCTGAAGCTAACTACCTGCTCCGTGCTCGTCACCAGTGTCCAGCTTCATCTGTTTCTCCGTGAGTTACGAGAACCGCTGCTTCACCAGCCTTCTGTTAATCCCTACCACAGAGGAGATTTATGTTCATGTGATATTGCCAGTTCCACTGGTTTCTTCGGTTGCCAATTATTATTGAACTTTCTGCTTGGATTACCTGTGGTCTGACATTTGATTCTATTAAATAACTGTGATTGTCACTCTTGCTTTTGAGTCCTCTCTAACCGCATCACAACTTCTTGTTGTCGGAGTCCCTAATGTAATCTCTATCTGAACCGGAGCATGATCTGAGATAGCAATTGAGCCAATTTGACTAAAAGATGTAAGATTAAAAGAAGTGTTTGGGATAAAACTATAATCAATTCTTGAGTACGAACCATGGGGATTGGAATAAAATGTCTAGTCTCTACTAAGAGGGTTAATTTCTCTCCAGCTATCAATTAAACCAGTCTCTTTGCACAGTTTTTTAAGAACCAAAGAGGATCTAGGATTGACTAGAGTGCCTGACGAGGATTTGTCCAATCTCTCATCCATCACGCAATTAAAGTCTCCGGCGCAGACTCCCAGTCCTTTACACTGTTCATTGAATAACAAAATCATTTTGGATATGAATTTGGGAGAGTCTTCATTTGGCGCATAAACATTTAACATAGTAATATGCTGGCCAAATATTAAGACCGTGACCAAAATAAATCTCTAATTTGATTTTCAAGAATAAATGGCAAGTGTTTTCTAATTAAAATAATCGTGCCTCTTTTCCTGGGGTTAACTGCGCATGAAGGATAATATACTTGACCCACTCAATCCCGATTCAATTGCAGATGCTCGCTATCCGATAGATGCGTTTCTTGAAGCCTGGCAATTGTGGTTCTTTCTTTTTTTTAAGAAAGTCAGTATTTTTTTCCTTTTTACCACATGTCCTAATCCCTTAACATTCCATGTCATAAACCTAGTCGAGCTCTGCATGATAATAAAGTGTGACCAAGTAACAGACTGTCAATGTAGTATTGAAAAAGTAGAACAACAAAAGTGTCTGATGGGCAAATATTTTAACATCAGTGAACAAAATAACAACATTTGCTACCAACATGAGGTTCAAAATCATCCCCGTTGTGAGAAACGCTAAAGTTAATCCGCTCCAGAAAGTAACGTGAAACATTATTATCTCGGGATTAGTCGTGCAAAAAAAATTAGACGCAATATGTAAAGTCTCTGATGTAACAGTCACATGTAATTCCGAACAGATTAGAAACAAATATATGACGCAATATATTCATTTTTAATGTTTATCCTTCCTATTACAGAGATGGGTAATGAGGTCCATCGTTCAATTGACTTTGCTGCATTATCAAAAACAGAATCGTTATTTATTACAACAACATCTTCCACCTTTGGGGTTATTTTAATACCTAAATATGTGAAGACTCTGGAAGTTTTAAACATATTAACATTAACATATACACATATTAACATTACTACTAGGATTTTCCCCTTCTTCCTCATTCAACATCATAATAGAAGACTTTATTATTAATAATTAATACGATACCCTGATATTTTCCCACATATCTCAGTAAGATGGAGTAGAGCAGTGATAGATGTATCCAGCTTCTTTAAAAACAATATAACATTGTCAGCAAAAATAGCTATTTTATGTTCAAAACCAGGAATTGTTATACCTTCAATATCTTTATTTCTTCTAACTGCGATTGCAAATGGTTCCATGGCTAGAAGAGAAAGCAGAGGGAAAGAGGAGAGCCCCGTCTATCCTCTAGAAATATGAACTGGCTTTACCATTCTGTTAGTCAGGACCTCAGCTATATCTATCTTTATTCAGATCTTTCTTTTGTTCCTGCGATGTACATGGTAAATCCAAACCATCTGTTTTTTTGTATTTCAGAACCTTGTAAACGTTCTGAGCTATATAATTTCACATAATTACACCTGAACGATTCATTCATTTGTCTTCTCTCCTGGATCATAAAAGGTCTGTTTCAATTTCAGTAATTTCGTAGCCACTTTATTAGCTGACGATGTGTTATACTTGGATCGAAGCAGCAAAAGTTGCTTATGTGAATCTGTACACACAGACTCATTCTGATAAATCTCATTCTCCAGCTTCTTAATCTTCATCTCTAATGCTTTCAATTCTTGTTGAGATTTTTTTACTTTTTGAACTATAAAAACTAATAATGTGTCCGCGTAAAAAAGCTTTAAATGCCTCCCAATGAACCCCAGCAGAGGTTTCGAATAGATTTGTTTCAAAATAAACATCTATTTGTTCACCAAGAAAGTCACCAGACGAGGGATCCCCCAGCCATCCGGGTTGAAATCGCCATTTTGGAGCGTCCCTATCTATTCTGTATCCCTGTCTATCAATGACACTGCTGCATGGTCGGAGATTACAATACTGTGATATTGACAATCTATGATCCTAGAGAGCATTTGAGCTTAAATAAAAAAATCATATATTCAGGAATAAGTTTGGTGTGTTGCAGAATAACAGGAATAAGAGATTAGAGTTGTGTTAAGATGTCTTCATTTCCAATAGGTTGAGCTCTCTCATAAAGTGTTGTATCAGTTTCCTGGAACATAAATGGGAAGTGTCAACGCCAGTGGAACGATCCCTTTCTGGGTCTAGGGTGCCATAACTCCTGCCAAGGGCGTAGGTTTAGGGGGGGACGCTAGGTACTAGTCCCAATCAATATTTTGAGATGACAAATTTGTCCCCACCAATATTTAGCAAGCTCCTTTGAACTGCTATTTTGATATTTGCGCTGCTATTTGGATCGATTCCAACGGCCAGGACGACGACAGTACAAGATACGCCGTAATTTGATTGGCGGCGGGGTGTCTGACAGGCAGGCTACACGCGCGGGCCGGGACTACTTTTTGGGCTTGCACTCACTGGCAGCGAGCGGGTGGTGTGTGCGTGTGTGTGTTTGTGTGTGTGTGCGCGCGTGACGACGCCGACGGTAAGTTACCAGGGCTGTCTGTCTCTCTGCATGCCATATACAAAGGCCAGGGTAAAACATTTTAATATTCCGTTTTTTGCCACTTTTTGTACTTTGTAGATCAGCTATGTCACCCAAGAAGAAGAAAGGGGACATACGAAGCTTTTTCATAAAGCAGAGTGTAAGTAGGCAAAAATAACTAGCCACACAAATAACTAGCAGTAGTGAGTGACTGACCATGCTTTCAAATGCAGATTCTACTGTGGAAAATAGTTTTAACTGGTGATTCTGGTTACCCAGGATATTGTTACAGTTAAACCTAGCTTCTGCAATCTTTCAAGGTTAGGAGCATTAATTAGCGGTGTGCAGCACGGATAGACCAACACAGTCTCATAGAAGTCGCACTATCATGATAGACGTTAGCAAGTCACTGAATGTTAATTAGCCTACCTTAACTTAGAATCTTGCAGTCATAAACAGTGGATCATCTCAGACATTTTTCGTTTCTACATTCTGTTTATGTAATGTATTTGTGAGTGTAGCCTACTTGCTAGACACATGTCTGGAAAAACATGTTGGCAATGTTAAAAAGGCAAAAGTAAACACTGTTGGTTATTCAAATATAATGAATCATTATTTGTTTGATAATATCCAAATAACAATATCTGGTAGGAGGATAGAATATATCAATAGAATTTGATATAGAATAGAAGATACATAATAATTTATGTTAAATAAAATGTTTGGTTGTTCAGCATTACAGTCTCAGGTTTTTATTTTTTGAGAGTGCATTTTTGAGATTATACAGTTATACTAGCTCTTTATTGACAGTATACAGGATGGTGTATCGGGGGTCAGGATACAATATAATGAGATGAGATGAGATGATCGGGGGGGGGGGTAGGGGGGGGGGGGGGGGGGGGGTCAGATGGGATGTCCCCACCAAAGCTGAGACCAAACCTACGCCCATGACTCCTGCTATAATATTTAAAAAATATAAGCACTAGATTCCCATATATGAAAATGTATTATGTAATATATCACATTATATTTAGCAGTTTATTGGGTGGACTCATTTAAAGTAATCTAATTGTCTGGTTTTAGCCAGGTCCCTGTCAAACACAGCATATCCAGTTTATGATCTGTGATCAAATCATTTACAATAAGTGCTTTTGAAGAAAGGGATCTAATATTTAGCAACCCGATATTGTGAAAATATTGTGTAAAATGTAATATAAATAAATGCGGCTTGACTTGAAATTAGAACTTGAATTAACACTGTAGCTGAGTATCCAACATCTATCATGGAGATGTCTGTGTGTTTGGTGAGCAGGGAGATCTGGGTGTTCATATCTACGAGCATCGACACAGTTCATGAAAATACTGTTGTTCTGTCAGTGTCAGAGATTTGTTTTTACTGAAAACAAAGTATACAACTTTGTGTAAAAAATTGCACATGTGTTATAGATTCATAGATGCTTTTTTATTGAGCTTTTTGTTTGTGCATACAAATCATCAGGAAGAGTTACATTTTAAGCACTTGTTAATTTCACAAGCACATGAGAGTCTTTTTTTTATTTTTTATGTTAGATAGTTTGTAGGTTAGTAAGAGCTCAAAGTACAATCTAAATCAAATTTGCCAAGTCTTGCTTTAGTCACAATCATTCTACATAGTGCAAACAAACTACCCACAAGATTTGCAACAGTATTCCCAGTTGTCTTCATAATCTGTGTAGCACCACAGATAATCTTTACCATAGTAGCCACACTTGTGATCAGACCGGCAGGTTTTGTCCTTCACAGCAGAGAAGCAGTCATCAGAAGTACAGCATTCGTCATTACTGCCATCATCTGTGTAGCACCACCTATATCGCGAACCATAATTAGCACAGGCATGGTTGCTGCGGCAGTACTTCCCGTTTGCAGCTTTACTGCTCCACAGCGGAGGGCTGCAGTAATCCCAGCTGCCAGAGACCTTGTAACACCAGTAGTAGTCCGCGCCATATGTGCCGCAGGGGTGATCATCCTTGCATCTCTCTCCTTCAGCCGTGATGAGCGAGTACCGCGGTGAGCACTCTATCAGCGTCTGGCCTGAGTAACACCAGTAGCCCTTGCGTTCCTCCCGGTAGAGGCAGGGGGAGGAGCAGCAGAGCTTGGTTTCATCTCCTATGTAGCACCAACAGCTGTAAACATAGTCACTGAAGCGTGAACAAGGCGATCCATCAGCTGCAGTCTTCTGCTTCTCTGGGACCAACAGGCACTGAACAGCATCGGACCCCTCGGATACCTCCCTTTTTGTCCTTAATAGTGATTCAACATGAGTTATAAGACAAGCACTTCTAGCAAAAATCTTCAGATCCTCTGTCACAGTAGAATAAGCGCTCATGTTATTAAAGCCTAATTCTGCGGTCACCTTCCTGAACTTGACATTGGTTTTAGATGATAGGCTGTCAGTGCTGGTGGTCCTTTTCAGCGCACCGAGCGTGTTCTGCACATCTGAGGGCATCTGGACTCCTTGGTTCGCTTGTATATTAATTAATTTCTTAAACTCTTCCTGAACCATGCTCAATTTAATATTGTCACCAAAACAAGCATCAGCAAACATCTGAACTGTTCCTGAGAAGCCACTATAGAGTCCGCTGAGCCGATTGTTCAAGTCGGAGACACTCATCAGGCTTATGCCAGGCTCTGCTGGCCGGTTTTTGCCCATATAGCCAAAGGAGAAAGACTTTCTGTCATCAGTGTTGTGTTTATAACAGACAGCCGTCCAGATGTGAGAGGGCACCGTCACCCTTTCAGGGTCGTCAGAGATTCCCCTTTGTGGTATTCGTAGATTCGCATCAGGTACTGTACCTGTGACAATGTAGGCTGTTGCCCAAAAACCATCGCTGGCAAGTTTTCTCAATAAAAGACTCTTCAGAGTGCTCTCCCAATTCTTCCAGTGGATACGGTTGAAACACGCATCCATAGGGGCTGCATTGGTCAGTGTAAATGTAGCCGTACGGCCTTCACCGCATTGGAAGCTGTTGGGGTTCAGGTGTCCACGATCATATCCGGTGTCACTGTAGTCACTGCTCACGGCTTGATTACTTGACAAAGTGTTTTGATAATTTTGATTCTCACGGACCATATATATCCCGGATTGAGGTTGGGAAATCTACAGAAGAAATGACTGTGTAAGAACTTTCAGCAAAGTACCATCTATCTAACATACTTTATATATTATTTGAAATGACAAAACAGAATGGAGACCAATAATTAACCTAACTGAACAGAACTGAGTAATTTTTATGAAATGCAGAGCTTCAACTGCTAATGAAAGTATTTTGTTAGACAGTGAAGCACATATATTTACCTTTGGCTCTAAATGCCAGGCGTTTGAGCTTCCACTGTCGGTCGTGCAATCAGGGTCAAATCTGTAGGCGCTGTAGAGAGGAATCCTGTGAGGAACCGTGTACAGCGTAGCGTAAAAAGGGCCTCTGCTTGCCGTATACTGACAGATTCTCTTGGCATTCTGATCCATTCCGCCTGGTTCTGTGTCTTTGTAAAAAAACTCTTTACACTCATCAAAGCTTGTGACCACCTATGCCTGAGCACTGAATGCTCTCAGCACAACACAGGTGAGCAGACCCAGAGCAAACATGGTTGGACGCTGGTCTCGTGTTATAGAGCAGAGACACCAGAAGCACAGCTGCTTTAACTGCACAGTCAGAGATGTTGTTGTGGGTGTGACTGAAATAACTAATGAGAAGAAATGAGGAATATGATGGGACCTTCGCTTCATCATACTTATGGAACTAATTTGACCTCTGTCACATGTAAAGAAACTTGGATTTAAAATAAAACAAATGGGCATTTACTCTGCTGTTGCTCAGTAGTATAAATGCAATGTCTGCAATTTTCACTTCTGTTTTCTAAGACATGCGGTTTCACTTCTGCATCTGCTGAAAAGCCAGATGCAGAAAGCTGTAAGCCCTGAATTGCTAACATTGGACAAATCATACTCTGTTCTCAAATATGTGTTTCTTGGTGACACCAAGAACTCAATGATTTGGGATTTACTTGTGACCATATTTTTTGCTAGAGAAGACTTTGGCTGCATTTGAAACCGCATTCTTCCCTACTATAAAGTAGGCAAAAAAACAAACAGTAGGCGAACAAATAGTAAGTCAGAGTCCTTAGTATTCATAAAACAGTATGTGAGAAATACCTGGGTGGTGTACTATTTCCTGTGAGATTCAGACGTTCGTATATAATGTTGCGTCGGAATATTCCTAGTTTCCTGCTATATAGGAGAAAACAGTACGTGAAAAGAGTAATTTATCCGAATCCTCAGTATTCATAAAGAGTAGGCGAGAAATCCCCGGATGGCCTAGTGTGTCCGCCTAGATTCTGAAGCACTCATCGATGGATAGTTTTCTATCCCAGCTTCCCTGGATGTCATAATCGAACACCGTGGAGAACAACACCGTGGTGTTTACAAAAGTCAATAATAAAAACCAAAAACATGGTTTCTTGTCACATTTGTTGAACTACTGAAGCGTAAACTGTTTTAAGTGTAAAGATGCAAAACAGTATAGTATATTTATGATTTTGCGGTAAAAACAATATTATTTATAGTTAACGGGAGCTCCAATAAGCAAACGTACGTCTCCAAAGTGGATTTACACACATTCTAAACCAGGGTTCCTCAATAGGCGGCCCCGGGGAAAATGTGCAAGACTTGATTTTCCTGCTAAGACCAAAGCTCAGATAAAACTCATCCTGCAATAAGATGTACCCTGGACAGAAGATCACAAAGAAAGAGCACAGGACATTGGCCAAACTTATCTCCTTGTTCATATCTGCATCCCGCTCTCCCTCCTCCCTTCCCTTCCCTTCCCTTCCCTTCCCTTCCCTTCCCTTCCCTTCCCTTCCCTTCCCTTCCCTTCCCTTCCCCCTGATTCAAGTCACTAAAAGTTCTCTGAGGATGTCTATATATCACATATTATGTATCTTGTGAATCTATTGTTTTTCCTTTTCATGTTTGGTATCATTTTAAATGTCTCAGTGTGATTGGTAAAATGGTCTTAATTTCTGTGCAGTCATTGGTATTATGAGAAAGATTGAAAACTTAGAAGAATCCTGTTCTCCTCTTTGGGTGGTGTCTCTTCAAGATCCCTCCCCTCTCCCCCGAAACCAGGAATAGACCCAAAACAACACTTTTTCGCCAAGTTAGATAAATGCTTTCATATAATGCAGAAAAAGAGAAACATTAACAGAAAAACACAATAAAAAATGTTTCGCCACCTGAGGTTATAACTTTAGCTCCCATACAAGGACTCAATAATAGCAAGATAACTTTAGCTTCGCGTTTCCCAGTGAGCGTAAACAACGGCTCCGTCGTAAACAAATTTAGTCAAAGTTGTCAACAGGCTATAAATGAACATTCAAATTCATAAACAGTGGGTGAAAACAATCATTCACACAAACTGTAGCCCTACTGTGAGTTTGCTTGATCATTTACAATAGAGATCGATAGCTAGCTGCTAGAAACCTGTATGTTGTATTCAACAAAGTTAGCGCTGACTGCATAGTTCCAACTAATTATATCCTTGTGTTTGTTAGGCGAACATGAAAGTCCATTTAGAAAAACCGAACTGGATTTACCCTGTCCAGCAGAAACGGAGCTCCTGATGTGGGATAAAATGAAAATGATGTCATTAATGACTCTCCCTCATGTTGTTCCAAGCCCGTAAGACGTCCGTTCATCTTCTGAACACAGTTTAAAGGGGTCATATAATGGTACATGCACTTTTACAAGTTGATTGTACTGAAATGTGTGTTGGCAGTGCCTGTACACAAACATCATAAAATGATAAAAATCCATCCAGTGTTTTTGTTTTAACCTCCTTATATGTTTTCCCCTGCCTCAAATCCAGCCGTTCGAGCCTGTGACGTCACACGCTCGGAAGCCCCTCCCACGATTGTTGATTGACAGCAGCGATTCAACACAGACCCGCCCTCGCTCGTCCTGTCAATCATAGTCCGCGCGGACCGGCGCGGTCATTGTTGATATGCTGGAGCACTGTCTATGAGCAGAATGGCGTCTAAGCGATTGTGGTGTTCTGTTCTTGGGTGTAATAACGAACACAGTCATTTTAATGTTCCTAAATCCGAACCACCGAAGACGCAGTGGCTGAGTTTGTTTTCGAAGGGAATATTCCCCACGAGCAACGTCAATGCTCTCATGTTTGCGCGAATCATTTCTCACCAGACTGCTTTAAAAACGAGGATCAGTATGAGCTGGATTTGCTAAGAAGCTGCACCTGAATAAAGGATCGGAACCTATTCGTGTTCCTACTGAACCTTCAGAAGAACTAAAGTGAGTGTAACGTTTTATTAATCTTTATATTAATCTTTGCAAATCGCTAGCTGCACGCTTCACGATGAATGCGTCTAAGGTTTACACTCAGGGTACATTACGGCATGTTTTCTATGTACGACGTTCTCAATATAATTCATAATCCCACGTTTATACTGAACAACGCGTTATGGTATTGTGTTATTGTGTTACAAACGGTGTACGCACAGAACAGAGAGGCGGAGTCAGCAAAGCTCATTATCATTTAAAGGCATATGCACTGAAACGGCGTGCTGAAAACAGAGCTGTTTTTGACCAGGTAAAATAAGTGTTTTCTTACAATACTAATGAGAATTTTTAATTAAAGTATATTGTCACAGGTCGGGGGGGCCAAACCAGACTGCACCCACCCCTCAAACCCAGGACCACTCTGAGGAGCGTACCAGAGACCAGACAGACAAGTAGAATTAAAAATGAACAATCTTTATTAAATAGTAAAAGGAAATTAAAAGTCTTGACGTGAGTCTGTGTCTCTGTCCAGGAAGGGGGAAACCGCTTTGGACCCTGGGAGGCGAGGGATTCGTCTGCCGTTCCAGCAGCAGGTACGTGTCGGGGTAAGTAGAACTTCTTAGCTACGATGCAGACGGACAGATACCCGGGCAGGGCAGGACCGGGACTGAGGACTAGGAGACTCTTCCACCGGACAGGTGAGTAGCAGGTACGTATACCTCTCAAGAAGGCGAGCAGGCGGAGGGGCCTCACTGGAAGACAGGTGGGTAGATAGGTCGGTATGTTCCTAGACCGTTGGTCGTTCCGAATATGCTCAGCACAGAAGAATCGTCCAGTTGAACAGACAGAGCAAATTATACAGGTGCAGGCACACTCCGCTGCAGAATCAGGCTTACGGCTGGACTGTGTGGCTCCAAGCGGACAGCGCTGGGACAAGGGTGAATCCTTCCTTCAGACGGGCAGCGCCCAAGAAGACAGCGGCAGACGAATCATCTAGTTAAACGGACAGAGCAATTTATACAGGTGCAGGCACACTCTGCAGAATCAGGCTTACGGCTGGACTGTGTGGCTCCAAGCGGACATAAGCCTGTATTTGGCGATAATCGCCTGTTTTTGCACTTGTGAAGTTCAACATGAACTGCTATAATGGCAAATTCGGGGACTTGGCGCCCCCTTGACAGGCTCTGACGTGTAATGACGTAGAGTTGGCTCATTGGTCGCACGTCAGAGGCGCCCACGCCTTTTTCTTTACAAAAGTAAGACGTACGGGTGTGGAACAACATAACCATTAGTAGATGGCAGGATTTTATTTTAACTATACCTCTTACAAAAGCACTTTAGAAAGAAATCTTACCATTGAAAATAGAAAACAGAATTTATTTAGCAAATTAACATTTATTTCTGAAATAAGGTAAGTGGTAACACTTTAGAATACTGTTCAATCATTAATGAATAACTACACAGGAGCAAATGAGAAACACAATATTAACATTCAAGTAACTACAATTAACTTACAAGATCTCAGATCTCTTTTGCTCCGTGCTGGTATATAGTGTCCTCAAGTGGCAGTTGTGAGTTTACAAAGACCTGAGAGATGAGTCACATGATTGCAATGACTATTTCAACTAGAGGACTTTCACTATCACAACAAAGAGCTCCGGCGTTCAGAGAGAGAACACCTGAGTGAAACAACGCAGGGAATTCCACACAATAAAAATGACTTCAGGTCAAGGTCAGTAAAATTTTTTTTTTTATATATATACTTTTGAGATCAGGCAGATAAGATTTTTCTTTTATAAAACTAGAAGACACAAAGTAATTAATAGCGACTTTTACTGAAATTATAGCACTTTCTATCAGAATAATGTCTTTAAGCCAAAGTAGGTGTTTTTTAAAGGGGTCATATAATGGTACATGCACTTTTACAAGTTGATTGTACTGAAATGTTTGTTGGCAGTGTCTGTACACAGCCATCATATAATGATAAAAATCCATCCAGTGTTTTTGTTTTAATCTCCTTATATGTTTTCCCCTGCCTCAAATCGAGCCGTGACGTCACACGCTCGGAAGCCCCTCCCGCGATTGTTGATTGACAGCAGCGATTCAACACAGACCCGCCCTCGCTCGTGAGAGCTGTCAATCATAGTCTGCGCGGACCGGCGCGGTCATTGTTGATATGCCGGAGCACTGTCTATGAGCAGAATGGCGTCTAAGCGATTGTGGTGTTCTGTTCTTGGGTGTAATAACGAACACAGTCATTTTAATGTTCCTAAATCCGAACCACCGAAGACGCAGTGGCTGAGTTTGTTTTCGAAGGGAATATTCCCCACGAGCAACGTCAATGCTTTCATATTTGTGCGAATCATTTCTCACCAGACTGCTTTATAAACTAGGGTCAGTATAAAGCTGGTTTTGCTAAGAAGCTGCTCCTGAAGAAAGGATCGGTACCAGATATTCGTGTTCCTGCTGAATCTCCAGAAGAACGGAAGTGAGTGTAACATTTTATTAAACTTTATATTAATATATTAATCTTTGCAAATCGCTAGCTGCACACTTCACAATGAATGCGTCTCAGGTTTACACTCAGGGTACATTATGGCATGTTTTCTATGTATGACGTCCTCAATATAATTCATAATCCCACGTTTATACTGAACAACGTGTTATGGTTATTGTGTTACAAACGGTGAAGCGCAGAACAGAGAGGCGGGGTGAGCAAAGCTCATTATCATTTAAAGGCATATGCACTGAAACGGCGTGCTGAAAACAGAGCTGTTTTTGACCAGGTAAAATAAGTGTTTTCTTACAATACTAATGAGAATTTTTAATTAAAGTATATTACAAACTTTTAATTTGAGACCCTAAAGAATCATATTAGCTTGTACAAAAATGGCATTATATGACCCCTTTAAACATTTAAATATAATATTTTCTTTTTAAATGATTTTTTCTTAATTATCTTAATTATACTTTATTTCAACATAAATATTTAATACATGCAGAATAAAAATAAATAACATATTAAACAGTTATTTACACTTTAGCAAGCACACAAAGTGTGAGGGAAATCAGCACCAACCCCTAATTTGCAGACAATTTGTAAACACATACAGGATATTGAAATGATTATATATGTGACTGTTACAAACTGAATTTGTAAGATAAAAACAAAGTTTTTAGCACAACTCTTTAACACATCTAATGACAAATCATAGCTTTGCAAACTGAGAGAAAATGACTGGGAGTCTGGAAGAAAGAAAAGAGACTTTATGATTATATGGAAACCTAAAAAGGCACACACCAAAAGAGACTACCTCAAAGCAAATTTTAAAAATGAATAAAAGTGTCTGTGTTTTGAACAACCTGGGTAACCTTTATGATTGATTTCACAGTAAACCGTGTTAATACATGTGTCCAGAGAGGATTGAGAGGATGGTTTGCCTTGAAATATAAAAATATGTAATTTATTATGATTTTTTATTTTTAAAAATGTTTATAATTCTTTTTAGCAGGTGATCTAAGGATTTTGCTCCTGGGTGAAACTGGAGTAGGAAAAAGCACAACTGGAAACACCATCCTGGGCAGGAATGCATTTAAAGAGGCCAGTAAAATGTGTGAGAGACAGGGAAGAGTTTTGGATGGGAAGACCATTACTGTAATCGACACTCCAGGACTGTTCAATACGTCTATCACAGAAGAGCAAGTGAAGGCTGAAATAGAGATGTGTGTAGAGATGTCTGCTCCTGGTCCTCATGTGTTCCTGCTGGTGTTCAAACTGGGAGTGAGATTCACACAAGAGGAGAAGAACTCAGTGCAATGGATCCAGGAGAACTTCGGAAAAGAGGCTTTGCTTCGTACAATCATTCTGTTTACTCATACTGATCTGCTGAAGGGTAAATCTTTGGAGGCGTACATCACGGAAAGCCACAATTTACCGAGAATAGTTGAAAGTTGTGGTGGCAGATATCACTCATTCAACAATGAAGATAGAAACAATCAACAGCAGGTTACAGAACTGCTGCAAAAGATGAATGCATTGAGGAGGCAGCATGGAATGAGGCATTACACACCTGAGATGTTTTACACAACTCAAACAGAAATGACTGGGAAGGACAGAATGAATCTGTTAAACACTACGCATGTTTTGAGCGTTATCATATTGATAGTTGCTTTGCGTAAATTCACTACGTGAAATATCACGGCCGAACCGAGAAGGAAATGATTAGTTGAATGAAGTCGTCATTTTTGTTTGTTTTTTTGCGCATAGAAAGTATTGTCGCTTGATAAACGTAAGGTTGAGCCACTGTAGTCACTCGGACCATTTTAACGAGGTCTTTAATAACTTTTGGGCCGGCCAGTTTCGATCCCTTAGAAGCCTATGGAGGAGTGATCCAGCTCTCAGATTTAATAAAAATATCTTAATTTGTGTTACAAAGATGAACGGAGGTCTTACGGTGTTGGACAACATGAGGGTGAGTCATTACTGACATAATTTTCATTTTTGGGTGAACTAACCCGGCCTTTAAGAATAAAACTAGCATAAAACCAAAGTATTTTCTTTCTTTCCTTTTTTTGTAAGAGAGATTGCAATCTTTACAAAGGTTTCACAAAACTTCCTTGATCTTTCACTCTTTGCAACACTTCTCTAAATATTAATTTTTCCAACATTCACTTTTGGAACATGCAACAAACAACCTGAGAATAAAACAAGACTATAATCAAACCTTTGCAAACTAAAACTGTACTAAAACCAGATGCGTTTGGCTAAACAGGTCTTGTGAAGATATTTTGAGTCGTAATGGTCAGAACAACACCATCAATATCTATTGTTTCAACAAAGAAGCTTGTTCTTCAGAGAGTAAACCTTTGGAGAAAGTTTGCCACTGTCTAGTTCCAGTAGAATCTTCTGAAGAAATTAAAACGAGTATCTGAGCTCTTTGGGGTAACTCAGATTGATTGCATAAATTAGGCCAAGTAGATAAACACAAGCCTTCGCAACACCTGACAACCCCGTCATCACCTCTATGCCTTCCAGCGTTACCCCAGTCTGTAAAGGATCATCTGCTGAGCCACCTTTCGTGATGATCCTCAATGTGAGATGTTCCAGTTCCTCTTCGTTCCCATGAGTATCCTAAAAAACCCCAGCAAATCTGCATTTACTTGCAACATCACTTGTTATTGTTCAGGTTGTTGCAAAAATTACATTGCATTGAAAATACATTGCATTGAAACACTGAATGAGAAAGAAATGTACCTTTATATTTTAAAATAAAATAAATCTCTTACAGTGTTACGGGTGTGGTATCCGGGAAGCACGAGGAATAACTAGAAACAGGATTTATTAAACAAAACTCGGGAGCACATACACACACTTGACATAAACGAGAACCGACAAGGACTTACTGAACTGAAGGAACTAAATACAAACACTGATGAACACTAACGAGGTGAGGACAGGTGACACAGATGACGATGACGATGAACAGGTGGGTAATGAGGGAGTGAGTTCCGGTGTGGAGACAAGGAGGATACTGGGAAGTGTAGTGAAGACGAAGACAGGATGGTGCAGAAGACGACTGTGACATACAGCCTCTTACATCTAATTTGGTTAAATTAATTAATTGCCATTATACAAGTTGTTTATTTAAATGTCTATACTGTCACGTTTTATCAATTTATTGCATACTTGCTGAATAAAAGTATTAATTTATTTAAAAAAAAAAAAAAAGTTCTAATTGACCCAAAACTTTGAAATTGCATCTTAAAATATATTCAAGTAGAAAACAGTTGTTTTAAATTGTAAAAAGACACAGTACAGTTTTTGCTGTATTTTGGATCAAATAAATGAAGGCTTGGTGGGCAAAAGAGACTTCTTTTAAAAACATTAAACAATCTTACTGGTAGTGTGTGTGTATATATATGTAACCCAGTATGTTATAACTGTGTTGTTAATAAGTTACTTCAATTTATTAGCTTGTATTTGTTTAATTAATAAACAAATCGTAGAGACGAGTGAGATTTGTTGACCGGGGGGGGGGGGGGGGTGGAGGGGGTCTCGCTCGCGCAAGGTCTCTCGCTCGCTATACGCGTTTTGGAGCACAATCTCTGTCTCGCATGCACGCTCGCTCTAGATAACGGGAGATTTTTAACGAATTTGCGGTATAACTAGTCGATCACGAGTGGCTCAACAGGTAGATATATAGATAAACTCATCTTCCAGGCATTTGACCGCCCGGGTTGACACTTCAGCGTGAGAAATCGGGAGTGTGGCGTGTGAGCGTGTGAAACCAATCAAATGCGGGTGTCTCACGGCCAATGCGTGAGAGTTGGCAGCTATGTTCCAGTGTTGTTAATCTGCCGTGCAGGCGCGAATACAGACTGTTTAGATTAATTATCAATGCGCATATCCGCGCATCTGAACGTTTAAGCTAAAACAACAGTTCCCTTTCGAACGGTCACTTCGTATTGCGTAGCTATACGCAGTGGGGAAACTCCTTTTCCTCGATTTACTGAAACCTATATGTAAAACGCATTTGCAGCTGCACAGCCAGCACACTGAGCGTCTGGCACGCTCATAGGCTGTGCTGCCGCAACTGCACAACCAATGGCGCGGGCGACTCTGACCTGCAGCCAATGAGCTAGCTCAACGTCAGAGCCCGTCAAGGGGGTGTGGCTTAGCCTATAAAAGACCCCCGAATTCGCCATTATAGCAGATTTTACTCCTTCAGCGACAGTATACATGTCCCTGAGCCTTTTACTGTGAATTCGCCGTCGAACAAGCCTTTCAGCCTGAGCGAGCTTCTCTTCAGCAGACTTCGCCTGCAAGCCGTCGTCTCCTGACGCCGTCTCACCTGTGGCTATCCGGCGACATCCTATATCCTTTCTATTATTGTGTTTGTTTCAGAATGCCTCGTTCATCCTGCGCCACGTGCGGAGGCCGTCTGCACGAGGCAGACCAACACGAGAGCTGCGTTTCCTGCTTGGGTGTCGACCACGCGGAGAATGCACTCTCTGTCGGCGGATGTGCGGCCTGCGACTGCATGCCTATCTCCGTGCTGCGCAATCGGCTAGCTCTCTCTCGAGACGGCGATGCCGCTTCAACCACGCTTTCCATTCCGAGGAAGAAGAAGCGTCGCAGCCAACGGCAACCGGAGGGTATGGAGATTGGTGAACGCACGCCGGCCGCGTCCCCGCGTGCTTCACTTTCTCCGACTCAAACGCCTTCACTGGTCCTGTTCACAGGAGACCAGCGCCCCCCCCCCCCCCACACGTGGCGGGCCTCGTCTCCTTCGGCGGATCTCTCGAGCGCGACGACAGCATATCCATCGCCGCTTCTGAGGACGAATGGCCGGGCTCTCTCGACCCCGTCTCCGCTTCTCAATCTGTGGCCAGTGGATTAGCGACCAGGACAAACTCCGACGCCGAAATGCTTCGGATCGTGACGAAGGCCGTCGCGGACCTCGAGCTAGAGTGGGCCTCGCCCGAGGAGCCGCCTCGTATTCGGCTGGATGGATGGTTTCTGGAGGGGCGCCAGCAGGCCCCGCGTCACAAACCGGCGCCATTTTTCCCCGAGGTCCACGAGGAGCTAACCAAGGCCTGGCGCGCTCCATACTCAGCACGTGTGGGATCTGCAGTTTCCGCGACGCTCTCCTCCGTGGATGGCGCAGCGGAAAAGGGTTATGAGTCTTTGCCGCCCCTCGAAGAGGCCGTGGCAGCTCATCTTTGCCCGAGCACTGCAGCTAGCTGGCGAGCTAGAGCCGCTCATCCCAACAAACCCTGCCGAAACACCTCAGCCCTCGCTGGACGCGCGTACTCCGCCTCCGGTCAGGCTGCATCGGCCCTGCACACGATGGCCGTGTTGCAGGTCTACCAGGCCAAACTCCTCCGGTCCATGGACGAGACTGGCCCGGACCCGGAGACCTTTCGAGACCTGAGGAGTGCTACAGACTTAGCGCTGCGTGCTACTAAGGCTACAGCACAGGCCATCGGAAGAAACATGGCGAGCTTGGTCGTGCTCGAGCGCCAACTTTGGCTTAACCTCACCGAGATTAAGGACGCCGACAGAACGAGGTTTCTCGACGCCCCGGTGTCCAGCTCCGGGCTCTTCGGCCCGGCGGTGAAAGGATTCTCGGAGAGGTACACAGAGGCACAGAAAGCGTCCCAGGCCATGCGACACTTCTTGCCGAAACGTTCGAGCTCCGCGACCAGCAAGCCCAAGCCGCCGCCTTCGCCTCATCCAGCCAAGCCGGTGAAACAGGCCTCTCAGCCCCGCCCTGCGGCTGATAGCCAACGCCAGCCAAGGCCCGCGAAGCGCTACCCGCTCCCCAGGCGTCAAGGCCCTCGACCCAGCGCCGCGGCCGACCAGGTGCCTCCGAAGTCGTCCTAGCACGGAGAGGAAACAGAGAGGGCTCGTGTCTCGCGCTAGCCGGACCACCCTCGAAAAAACCGGCAAAACTTCCCACAGCTCCCTGTTCAGTTCAGGCGGCTGGGGATTTTATTATTGTAAACAGGCCCGCAGCAGTGAGCGCGTCTTTGCAAACAAACGCCGTTTTCACGGCGACCCAAATAAAGCACAAAAAGAGTATGTTTCACAATCACATCACACAGGTTCACGGTCCCCCTTCACTAAGCGGCCCCCGCCCTGTTGTAAGACTGAAATCCCCCCGGGCAAAAGCCGGTATAATCAGTCAAACACTCAGTATGTGCACAAATCACAGTGTAAGGGTATCAGGTCCCCCTATGTTAGGCGGTCCCCCCCATTCAGTGTGTCAAGCCCTAGCCACACGGGCGTTGGCCTGGCAAGCCATCCCTGGTGTGTCGAGTTGGGTCATAAACACTATAAAGCGAGGCTACTCGCTCCAATTCGCTCGCAGACCCCCGAAATTCCAGGTGGTTATCGAGACATCGGTGAGAAGCGGCGTGGGTCACGTGCTTCGCACCGAAGTTCAGAATTTATTAGCAAAAGGAGCGACAGAGTCAGTCCCTCCCGCGCTAATGTATTCGGGGTTTTACAGCCGCTATTTTCTAATTCCAAAGAAAGACGGCGGGCTCAGACCCATACTAGATCTGAGACGTTTGAAC